TTTTGTAAATCTACATTTGTCAAGGCATGTTTTGGAATCTTTATTTCATCCATTTTCTCATTCATAAAAAAATACCCATTCCTCTTTTGTATGGTTTCAAGTACAAACCATGTCCAATTGCTAATGCTTCCATTTTTCGATTATGACGTTGTTTTTCGAGTAAATCTTCTTTAGCTGCTTTTGCATCGTTAATCGTCTTTACAATGGCTGAGGTACCCCCCGCAATTGTTCCGAGAGCGCTTAACCCTGCAAATATAGGTATTAGGGGTAATATACCCCCAGTTTTTGGAACTTGGATTACTCGACCACGTGGTTTTTTAATTTTCTTGTAATACTTAACGATTCGTAATGCTTGTTGAATAGCTTCCTTTAAAGTTTTCGGTTTGATTTCCAACAGTTTCTTCCTAATGTCTCTAATTACTCTCTGTAAACTAAAAGATATTTGCTTTGAAAATTTTTTTTTGGAACCTTTTGTTTTAGAGGAGGATGAAGTAACCTTTCTTTTGGTGGTCTTTCTTGTCTTTTTCTTATTACCAACCATCTTGATTGCTTTTAATCAACTACACACAATACACACAACAACAAGTCTTTTATTCAATTAAATAACACATCAGTAGAATATACAACATTTATTAATAATTACTAACATAAACAATTTTAAAATTACTGTCTTCTAATGTCTTCAATTGGAAATGGTAGCTGCTGTCTCCTTCTCACTGGGTAATCAACATCTCTATGGGGCTCTATATGGTGAAGCCTCCCTAGTTGTTCTGCTTGAAAGCCCTCATCTCTTTGTCGATACCTACTGAATTCTCTCGTGAAGAGTCTTGTTCTGGCATTTTCTCTTTGCTTATTATGGAATTCAACAACACCACTCTTAACTCCCATTTCACTATGTTTACTTTTACTGATGGTTCATTAACAACGTCACAGATCAGACTAACTTAGTTATTGGTGTATGTGTGTACTATATATATATGTTGTTATCACAATAAAAAACACCTTGTTTTGTGGCAAAGATTAACCCTAGATTAGTCTGACATAGATAAAGAAACAAGAATATACATGTTTTATTTATTATATTTTTTAATTTAATACAATTTATATCTTAACTTTTTTCCTATCTGGATAATCATCATCCTCATCTTCATTGGTCCGTTTTCTTTTTTGAGTATTTTTGTTTAATGAGTCATTTAAGTTGATTTTTGTTTTTTTTACATCAACTAAATTGTCATCAATTATTTTTCGTTTTTCTCTTCCTTTGGATAGACGGTCATCATCATCATCGACAACAAAATCATCAGTAATATCCACATCCATATTAGGTTCGAATTGTTTTGCCCTTTTATGATTTAAAAGCTTTTGTTGTATTTTTTGTTTATTTTTTACATTTTGTTTGCGTTTTTTTGATTTGGATATAGATAATCCTTGGAGTAATAAAGTACAGTGGTCTATATTTTCATTTAGTTTGTCTAAATTATTTTTAGCTTTGTTCATTTCTTTACTACAACTGTTTGTTACAGCTTTATAATTAGTAGAATCTAGACCCATACCTAATTTCACTTTTGCTTTCATTGCACCAGCTACACCAAGTGCTGCCAACTTTTCTGAAAATGCTGTGTTTTTTGATCGAAACTGTTCAAAAGCTTTTTCAGCTAGAATCTTATCAGCCTTATGTCGTTCAGATAGATCTTTGTTTTGAGAATATGCAATATCATGTTCACGACACGCCTCATCTAATCCATTTATTCCCCTATCTCCTCGTGCTAGTCGTTTCTGTAATTTGGTACCGGGTCCACAAAATCTATAACCTCCAGGGATGTGCATTTCAAACGGTAATTTGTTAATGGCAGCGTTTAACATATTGATAACGTACTCGTACACTGTATACAAAGTAATAAATACTTATTCTATATATAAGTCTTTATATATTTTTCTCCTCAGACAACTGACCTCACATTTCACCAAACATACTACTTGGTATATTTTTAGCACCAGATCTGGATTTCAAATATTCAATGTATTCACAGTTTATACAATTTCTATTAGGTATTTCAGTCTCCCCACCACACTTTGGACATTTATACTTTATTGGTACAGGCATACTTATTTTTGTAAAAATAGATGACTTGGGTTATTTTTGTCTCCACCAAATTGTCGAAATATACTTTTTAGGTAACAATTTGCACAGAGTGTATTTGGAGTGTCAGTTTCACCACCACACTTTGGACATTTATCTTTCACAGGTACAGGCATATTCAAAGGGAAAAGTATAAATGAACTTTATGATATATTTACAGCTACTTTATATATATTTTTAATACAATTACATTATTTTTGTGGTCTCTGCCTTTTTACATACATTCTACTTGGTATATTTTTAGCACCACTCTCTTCCTTGTACACCTCTTCCAATTCACAATTTATACACAAGTCATTTCGTTCTTCAGTGTCACCACCACACTTTGGACATTTATGTTTCACAGGAGCAGGCATATTTATTTTTCTCACTCACACTTTCTTTCTTGTTGTTGATTCTCAGAAAAATAGGATAAACTCTTTGTACAAAGGCACAATCAGGACTATATTTTTTATGATCTTCTATTACATTATCATTTATTTCCCATTTGTAAATCTCTACACCACACTTGAAACACTTTACTATATCATCCACATGGAGAAAGTAGAATCCGCAGGCAGCTAACTCTATTTCAGATTTCGTCCCCTTCCAGTTGTTAAAAGTTGAGAGCCTTGAATAGAAATCGTCAAGCTTTAGCATGTACACTTCAAGACACATCTTGAAATACTGACTACCAAAATTATGATGGCTACATTTATTCAAATTTTGGTGGATTTTTTCAATACATCTAAGCGCAATATTATGTAATCTTGTATAAATAAATTTTTAGATTTGGTACGTTGTTTTTTTTTTCCTTCAGTTACTTTAATAAATGTAAAAGAGATAAAGTAATCCAATATGTCAACGAAGTATACCTCTAGACAAGTTTTAAGAGGCTAGGCTAGGCTAGACAGATTTTGGCTAGATAAGCCCGTATACAAACAATTTATTTTTTTAACTCACCAACACAAAAATTTTCTCAAAATATATTTCGATCACCCTGTACAAATTTAACGAAAAGAAGAGGAGATCTAAAGATAAGCGATGAGTTTTACACTTCATATACAAGGTGGTCTACAGACCGCTTCTTTTACTTCTTTAGGACAGGTAAGACAAAGAAGAGACAGGTCAGACAGGTGAAGTGACACTTCTTCGGCTGAGAAGAAGAGATCTAGAGATAAGCTACCAATTCTTACAACCCTCTGGTCATTGACGATCACTTCTTGTACTTCTTGTACACCCCCAAGGTCAAAGAAGGCTTGTATCGTCCTCAGCATCAGAGACCCTGATGGACAGGTTACCAAAGTGGGTTTGTACCCCGTCTGCTATACTACTTAGGACGGTAGTTGTTTAGGTCTGTTCGGTCTCCTTCCTTATGTATTAAGATTGTGTTGGCATTTCTCCATTGTTTAGGTATTTTACCTTCAAACAGACATTTGTTGAACAGTATTTTTAGCATTTTTTTTATCGTGTCTCCTCCTTCTTTTAGCAGTTCCGCCAGTATTTTGTCCTCACCGGCCGCTTTATTTCTTTTCTTGTCGTTTATGGATTTTTCGATTTCATCTTCAGTTATTTCTGGTAATACCTCTGAGCCAACATTTTGTATTTTCCTCGAGAGATTCTGTTTAGATGATAGTGGTGGATCATTTTTAGAACTGTATAGGTCTGTGTAATATATTTCTGTGATTTTTACTATTTCTCCTACATCTCTTTCTTCATTGTTCTCAGCTTTAAGCATGATTAGTTTTCTTTTTCCTGTATTTGTCTTCATTGTTTTTAAACTTTTGTTCTTCTCTATGATTTTCTTAATGCGGTCTTCTTGGTATTTCTTTAAATCTTCCTTTATCTGTTTTCTTATGGTTTTGTTCAGTTCGGTAAACTCCAATGTATTTCTTTTGTTATCATTCAGTAGTTGTCGTCGTTTTTTTTAGCATATCTTGTGATTTAGCGCTAATTTTTTGTTGTTTTCGCTTTTGTTTATTAGCAATCTTCAGGCCTGCTTCTAGTAGTTCTGTTGTTATTTTATCGTTTAATTCGTCTAGTTGCAAACCCTTTAGCTGTGATATGTCACTTCTTTTTAGCTGGTTTATGTATTGTTCTTTGCGTTCTTTAAGAAGTTCTGTATCTATCTCTTTTTTAGATGGTTTAAATTTTTGTCTGTCTGTTGTGGAGTTAATTTTGATTTTGGCTCTAACAATTCTGTGATCACTTCCTACGGAAATCATGTTTATGACCGCAACGTCTTCTACTATGTTCTTTTCTTTGGATAGGATGTAATCAATCTCATTTTTTGTTAAACCATTGGGCGAGACCCACGTCCATTTTCTCTGTGGTTTTTTATTGAAAAAGGTATTCATCGCATATAGACCGTTCATTTCCATATAGTTCATCAATGTTTCTCCTCTTTCGTTTCGTGTTCCATATCCAAAGTTGCCGATTTTATTTTCTGATTCTTCTAGTTTTCTCCCTAATTTGGCATTGAAATCTAGTACCATAGGGATAGTACCAGTGATAGTACTAGTGGCTAGTACCATAGGGAATGTAAAATATTTTGTATATAAAAAAGGTTAATAGGAGTTTCATGTAAGGGTATTTAAGTTAAATTGTACATTACATTGTTTAGAGCGTTTCTACTTTATTAATATTAAATTGGGTTGTAAGTAATAATCTGTTTTTATTAAACCATAGCAGTAATATATATAGATAGTCTTCTATCTAATATGGAAGAAAGAAGAAATCGTAGCTCAGGAATATCAGAGACTGAAACATAACTGACAGTAATTCTTTCATATACTAAGCATACAATAAACCAGACTTTGATATACTGGTCAAAACCTCAATAGAGATGTAGGATAAGACAAGGGAGAAGTAAACTCAAATATGTACTATAGTATTTAATTCGTTTTTATTTTGACTTTGTGCCTACAAAACAACATTTTTAGAATAAAGTAAATACTAAATATCACAACCAAGGCACCTATACTCCAAACTAAAATAACATCTAACAGGAGATATTGGTACCATCTTAGTTCAAGAGCAGCAACCCTCATGTGGGACAAATCTCTATGTCGTATAACATATTCAACCCAATAAACTGCAAGATCGATCGGTTTGACAGGACGATCTCGAATCAAGTCAGATCTCTTTTTAGCATTTTCCCTGTACCTGAAAGAAAAAATAATGTATTTTAGGAATGTCACTTTCTTATTTTCTCTTTGATTTTATGATAGAAAAGGAAATTAGCAATATAAAGTACAACTTAAAATGACAGTCAGACTTAATATAAACCGCTCAACAATTGTGGTAGATATTTTTATTCTTCGTAATTTTTTTCTTAAAAATATTTCGATTTAACTGTAATGCATATGTCATCGCAAATTCTCTTAAGCCTGCCACTCACATTCCAATGGCGCAGTACGATTTTGTTGAATGCAATTGTAGTACAATAATGTTGAAAATCTGATGGTTATACAAAGATATCAATTTTGCATTATGAGTTTTACTTTCAAATCATAAACATGTCAGATAACGATATAATTTTAGCGGCTTTTGCTCTTTGTACAACCGAAAACAATTCAAGAAACGTAGGTGATGGTGTAAAGATTGGTTGCTGAAAAGACATACATACAGTCACGTAAATGTATTAGAATAATTGCGAATATATCTAGATAATTAGAGAAAATACCTTCGAATGGATGAATCTATTTAGAAATAGAATAGATACACACATGTGCTAATGCATTCGTTGGTAATTGACAGTGTCTTTTCGACCTTTTCGTTCTCTACTTTGTGTCATCTCAAAAAAATTAAATAAAGCCGTCGGTGAAATTTAAATCACAGGACAATTACATTAGGTAATAAACATTGGTGCTCGATTTTAGTTCTTTGTTTTTTGTCAAGTTATTATTTCTGAATGTTAAGTAACCTTACAGTTTGTAGTGATCTAAAAAAAATACAAATTGTTTTGTAGATATAGAACTCTACCATTGTAGACCATTGTATCATTTACTTATAAACTTTATCATTATTTTTTTAGCGAGCTGAGGAAGCTTTTGAAACATAAAAAAGAGAAACATATTCAAATAAACCAATAAAGTAGCTGACTTCTTCTTTTTTGCCAACAAAAATGATTTAATAAGTCTCTGCATTCACTTGCTAAATATATTTGAGATATACCTATATAATAATGCTTATATATTTATATATATATATTTAGGTACTTACTTCTTATTATCAAGCAACTGATTTAGGAGGTAGTCTAAATTTTCTTCTGTTATTTCATTCAGATCTGTTTTAAGTCCAACGCCTAGTTCTACCATTCTACCAGAATTTAAGTCCTGATCTCCAATAAAAGGAACGGCCAAAATCGGGACTCCGTGGTAAATAGTTTCGATAGTACTTAGAAAACCACCATGAGTAATAAATAGCTTACAATTTGGATGAGCTAAAAGTAAAAAATGTTTAAGTACTCCACCAAAATCATCCTGGAAATCGAGCCAATTACCAAAGAACAAGTCTGATAGTTGTCAAAATAAATAAAGGAAATCTTTACTCACTCTTAGAGAAAGTATATCTGCATAACTGCTTAATGAATTCCTGAAAACTAATAATATAATTCTTACCCAATATTGCTTCTTGTGGAACCCATTTGCTCAACTTCATATTAGCAGGTTTTCCAGGGAAATTTTCTTCATCGGTTTTCCATAACACTTTCTCCTTTATTTTACCGAGAGATTTGATAATAGCTTTCTTAATTTTAGGTTCCATTTGTGATGGATGTATAAATGAACCAAAGCTGAATAAGATCGCCCCTTAAAACATACATATATATATATATATATATATATATATATATATATATTATATATATATATATATATATACATATATATATATATATATATAATATATATATATATATATATATATATATATACAAAGTGGCCCAAAAGTCTGGAAACGTTCAAGTGTCTCCTAAATTGCTAGTCATAATTGTACAACATTTGAGGAACACCTATTTTGCGATACGGAGATTCCATATTTGATATTTGCGATACGGAGATTCCATATTTGATATTTGCAATGTTGCCAGATTTGACGTTTCTCTTATATTATTAGCAACTTTGCTTTTTCAAATTCATCACAGTATATTCAGTCATTATTGAAATCTCCTATTCAATGTGAGTTCAACCATATGTAACAATTATGATTTTATGTAGTCTTGAAAGTCTTAAATACATAAAGCAGAAGTCTGGCAACGCCTAATTGTCTCAATAAATTTTTTTAATACTATTTTCAACTACATTAAAACGTAACAATTGATAGATTACAACATTTTTTAACATAACGGTTACTTTATCAAGTGTTAAAAAGTGCTCCATTTGTGAGTTGACAGTACCCTAATCGATGGTAGAATGCGTCTACCACATTTCTCCATGATTGTCTAGAAATTATTCGGAATACATCGATAATTCGTTGTCTTAGCTCTGCAAGACTTGCTGGTTTATTTTTGTAAACTAAATTTTACAAGTATTTCCAATAAAAATAATCTTTAGGATTGAAATCAGGTGAACGTGGAGGCCATTCAATTCTACCTTGTCTACCAATCCATCCACCGGGAAATATCTCATCTAAATAACCCCGAACATTTACACCAAAATGAGCTGGAGCTCCACCTTGCTGAAACCATATCTGATTAAAAAATGCTCCAAACATGTTTCTCAGTGTAGGTACAATTTCATTTCTAAGTAACATTTCGTAACTATCTGACGTTAAATGTCCTTCAATAGAAAATAGCCCAATTAACTGATTACCTACTATACCTGACCATACATTTAATTTTTGTGGTCTTTAAGTATGGGTTTTACGCATACAGTGTGGATTTACGTCATTCCAGTACCTTAAATTGTGTCGATTTACACTTCCACACAGTGTAAAGGTTGCTTCATCGGAAAAACATATTCTGTTAACGAAATTTTCATCATTTTCAATTTTATCCAACATTACCTCAGTAAACACTAATCTACGATAGAAGTCATCTTCAATTATTTCTTGCAATAAGTTAATTTTGTATGGTTTAAATTTATTCTTACGTAATACACGTAAGACTGAAGAACGACCTACATCATGTACTTGTGCAGCCCTGCGTGAGGATGTATATAGATCTTCAACAAATGTTCGCATTATATCTAAAGTTTTGTTGTCATGATAGATACCTGATCGGTATCTATCTTTTACTTCTCCAGATTCCTCAAATCGCTTTACAGTTATTTGTACCGTCGCCTTATGAATAGAAGAACGGTGTAGGAAAATATCATTGAACAAGTTGTCTACTTTATAATATGATCTTTTTGTCACCGTGCCCTCTAATTATTAGAATAGTAATTCGTTCTTTTTCGTTAAGAGTCATTTTAGAGAAGCAATTATCTTGCAGAACTTTTCGAAACACAACTACTGTCAGTTTTAGTTAATAATGTAAATGGTGAACAAATGTCAAAATCTCAGCATTCTACATTTAAACATTTAAATTTATTAAAATCTACTAAAATCAATTCATATGGCGTTCGTCGATTTTCATAAAGCATTCGATTCCATCGAATTATAGGCATTGCTTAAATCTCTAGAAAATGTACGTATAGATTCAACATGCACTAACATAATTAAAAACATATATGAAAATGCCACCATGTAGATAAAGCTGGACGAAAGCACAAAAACTAATCCCATAAGACTACAACGGGGAGTAAGACAAGGAGACATCATCTCTCCCAAACTATTTACCCTTGCTCTAGGAGACATTTTTAAGAAACTAGAATGGAACAAAAAGGGTATCTGTAACACAACTGTCATGGGAAACTTTCGACAAACTAGCATATATCTTGAAAAACACCTCCATTCCTGTAAACTCAAAGACAAAGGTGTATAACACATACATACTACCAGTTTGTACCTACGGCTTGGAGACAGTAGCCCTTACCAAAAAATGCACACTGCTAAAAAATTATACACAACGCAAAGAGCAATGGAACGAATTATGCTTGGAATATCACTGTGGGACAAGATTAGAAACACCGAGATAAGACGTAGAACGAAGATTAGGGATATTGTGGAAGAAATTACAAAAATGAAATGGTAATGACAACAGGTGGACACAGAGAATTCTAGAATGGAGACCAAGGATTACAACAAGAAACATGGGAAGACCTCAAAAAAGATAGGTAGATGACATAAGAGCAGTGGCAGGCAAACAGTGGATTAGATTGGCGCAATATAGAGAAAGATATAAACAATTGGGAGAGACCTACATTCAGGCGTGGATGGAAAATGGTTGACAAAGAAGAAGAAGATTAAAATCTACATATTTTGCACTGTTTTATATATTTAAGACCTTCCAGAATACATAAAATCATAAGTGTTACATATGGTTGAACTCGTATTGAATAGGAGATTCCAATAATAACTGGATATACAGGGTAATGAATTTGAAAAACCAAAGTTACTAATAATATAAGAGAAATGGCAAATCTGGCAACATTGAAAATATCAAATATGGAATATCCGCATCCCAAAATAGGTGTAGGTACCTCAAATTTTGTAAAGTTATGACTAGCAATTTACGAGATAATTGGGCGTTTCCAGACTCTTGGAACACTCTGTATATATTATACATTTAAAATATTAGTACCTACATTTATTGAATATGAAAATCATTTTATAAAAATACATTTTTTCTTCTAAAATTCCTGGTAAAGCCAGAAAAAATATATAAATAAAAATATTTTTACAAGGATAAGTGTTTTTTATCTTGCTAAAAACAGTTTTAAATTTAAACAAAGATTTCTAAGCGCCCCGCGCCTGTATCGCTGCGCAACCGTACACGATTATTATCGTATATAGCGATATTTTGCTCGAAATGCATATATTCGAAATATTTGGTTCCATGTTTTGCAAGATAGAATACTACATTTATCCTTGCAAAAATATTCTTACTTGTACTTGAATGTTTAAAATTTATAAGTATAAAAGATTATAAAGCTTTTTATAGAAGTTTTTTAGAATAAAAATACCAAAAATTACTAATTGAGGCATTTTTTTTTCAACAAAAAATTGCAAGTAACTGGAAAAGGAAGCATTTTTAGACAAATTGCCAGAAAGAATAAGTATTTACTTCAAGAGATACGTCTAAAAAAAAATTTACTTAAAGCGATTCGGGAAATTGCTTTTTTTATATTAATTTTATTAATAAAAATTTCCGACCTATTGGACAAATTTAAAAAAAAATACATTTGAACTTGAAACAATATATAAAATCGAATAAAAAATGTTTGCTGTAGAAGTTTATATTTCAAAAGTAAATAAAAGATTGTATTTCTATTTTTAATGTGCAGCAAAATATACTTACCATCTTTTGCTGCATCCATATACTCCTTCAAATCTTTGGGCAATTCAGTTTTATCTTGAAGGTGAAAGCCTAGAATATTGATCATGTTTGGTACGTGAGGAATCGGTGAGTTAATACTTTCATGATTATTGATTAAAAAAAGCGAAACATTTTTATCGATGTCGGCTAAATTGGGCGAATCTGGAAAATATTTTTTCATCAGATCTTCTTGTGCAGGAGTTGTTATCCAATGATAAAACAACGCTTCAAATATATAACTAAACGTGTTCACTGATCTTTCCCAGAAAGTCATGAAATGGGTATAACCAAGAAATGTGTTGGCCACATAGGCTGGAGGTGCAATATTTCCAGCTAAGAGGTGAATAGGAGTATGTGGGGCAAAGGGGCAGAAGAGTATTAGTGGAGCTTTGAAATGCCAAGAGATTGCCTTGAGTGCTGCATTTGTTAGTTCTTCCATTATTATGACGTCGAATGTTTCATTGGATTTCAACAAAGCTTGAAACTTAGGATGCTTGAGTGTCCTTTCAGTATAGTTTAGAATATAAGGATGATATATAAATTGCATACGTGGTAATGACATTTTGGGAACTTTTATGAAGTTTGTTTCCATTCCTAAAAACAATATAATAATACATGTTAATATTTTAAAAAATAATAATAAAATATAATAGTACTAGAAATTTTCTTTTACCAAATACTTTTACCAAATAATACAACATACTATGTCTTAATAGTAACCTAAGATATGGCTGTAAGTAAATGAGAAAAACAAAATATTATTCGACTCTTTAGACACTCTTAACAAATTAGTGTATTTTGTAAATATAATGAAATGCAGAAAAAATACTATAAAGAAGACTTCCAGGAAGAATAACAAATATTAATTAGTAAAACTTAAAATTAAAAAAATGTCTGTGCAAAAATAACAAGACTTTTAACTGGTCTTGTTTCATTTCCATAGTGCCACGATAGCTGTTTCTCCATAGGGTTATAGAGCATGTTGTTCTATGCCAATATTGCCTTGATAAAGACGTTCATCTCTTACCTTATTTGGAAAGCTGTGTTTTCTTTTAATACTCTGAAATGGTTGAGGGTGTATATATATTGAAACACAGGTTAGGTTCACTCGCTACATGAGTCTGAATTTGGGCTTTATACCCAAGCAGATATGGGTCTCCCGCTTATGGAAGCCCGTGGTTAAACACGCCCGTGGCAGTGACAAGTCAGTGTTGATTTGACAACAGGTGCTGAATCGAAAAATTCAACATGCCCTTGTGTCAGTTGGAAAAGAAACCCTCAAACCAGTTAAAGAAAAAACAAAACCTTGGATGACAGTAGAAATTCTTGAACTCATGGAAGAACGAAGAAAACATAAAGCAAAAGACCTGAATAAATACAAAGAAATTCAGAGAAACATGAGAAAGAAAATTCGAGAGGCAAAAGAGAGGTGGCTCTCCGATAGATGCAAGGAAATAGAAGATCTGGATAAAAAGTACGATAGCTTTAATTTACACAAAAAAATCAAAGAAATGACAGGTTCTAGAAAGCGTACAAAAACGAATATCCTTAAAAATGATAAAGGGGATATTATTACTGATATGAAGGAGAGATTATGTCACTGGACCAATTACATTCAACAACTATTTAATAATGAAAGAGAAGAACTGTCATTAGAAATCACCGAGGATAATGGACCACCAATATTAAGAGAAGAAGTCATCTATGCCATCAAAAACACAAAAGAGGGTAAAGCTACTGGACCAGATGAGGTGCCCATCGAATTATTAAAACTCATCGATGAAGATGTTATTGATGTAATGGTTGAACTCTTTAATCTAATATATCAGACTGCCACAATCCCCAGACAATGGCTGCAATCAACCTTTGTAGCAATTCCCATAAAACCAAGTTCAACAACTTACTCAGACCACAGAACAATAGCTTTAATGAGTCACACACTTAAAACATTTTTGAAAATAATTCACAGCAGAATTGTTAAAACTCTTGAATATGAGATTAGTGACACACAATTTGGCTTTAGAAATGGTATGAGTACAAGAGATGCTTTGTTCGGCTTGAATGTGCTGGCTCAGAGATACATGGACATGAATCAGAATATGTACTTATGTTTTGTAGACTTTGAAAAGGCATTTGATAAAGTTCAACATAAAAAGCTTGTAGATATATTAAAAAGCAAAAATATTGACAGTCGTGATCTGAAAATTATATCTAATTTATATTAAAATCAAACTGCCAAGGTAAGAGTTGACAGCCAGTACACCGAAAATATCAAAATACAGAGAGGAGTCCGCCAGGGTTGCGTGCTGTCCACACTACTTTTCAATGTCTACAGTGAAGCGGTATTTCAAGAAGCGCTCTCAGACTCAATAGAAGGTATATCTTTTAATGAAGAAGTTTTGAATAACTTACGTTTTGCAGACGATACAATAATAATTACGGATAACAACAATGATTTACAGAACCTAATGCAACGCCTTAATGAACGCTGTCATGAGTACGGACTGAAGATAAATTTAAAGAAAACTAAATGCATGATCATGACTAAATCTGCACATGCAAATATCCAATTGACTATTGAATATACTGCAATTGAGAATGTTAATAACTATAAATATTTAGGAACATGGATAACATCAGATGTAGACCAAACCAAAGAAATTAAAACACGTATTGAAATAGCACGTACATCATTTATTAAACTTAAAAAGTTTCTTTGTTGTCGGGATATAAGGTTAGAACTACGCCTGAGAATGCTTCGATGTTACGTGTTCTCTACTCTTCTTTATGGTCTGGAAGATTGGACACTCAAACAAGTTCATCTGAATAAGCTGGCCGCCTTTGAATTTTGGTGTTACAGAAGAATCCTACGAATATCATGGATTCAAAGAATGTCAAACATGGAAGTAACTAGAAGGATAGGAAATGAGGCGGAAATAATATTAACTATTAAAAGATGAAAACTTGAGTACTTGGGACATGTTATGAGAGGGCAAAAATACGCATTATTACAACTTATTATGCAGGGCAAAATCCGAGGAAAGCGAAATGTGGGAAGACGAAGAATATCCTGGCTTAAGAACTTAAGGGAATGGTTTGAATGCAGTAGTGCAGAACTTTTTAGAGCGGCAGTCAACAGAGTCCGCATAGCCATGATGATTTCCAACCTTCGATAGAAGATGGAACTTAAAGAAGAAGAAGCTGAATCGAATCGTGAACGTTGCGCCTCTTCAAGGTATGGTTTCTCTCCTTTTTTTTTCTGGAGTATAAAACGGGAAAAAGAAATAACGTCGGTTGCGAATGTGGAAGATTGTTGTTATATTGAAGTTTTTGGAAGACGAGTGGATTGCTAAGAAACGGAAGTCAAAATTTTAGAATTTTGTTGTATTGCTAGCCATACCGTAGTGAGGAGGTATCTTGGCATGGCACTAGCTATATTGTGGGAACGGCTCTTAGATCAGCAATTTTGGCTGTTAACAGCTTATTAGTATCTGGGGTGTCTTAATGGCGTTGCTTCTAGGGTGTCGAAGTGCTCATCAGTAAGTTCGTTTCCAGCCAAATTGAGAAGTTTGGCTAGTGAGAGTGGAACTTTCTTTTTGGGGAAAGCCTGGGGAGAGCCTGGTGAGGCTTTAGACGATGACATGTAGTTTTATGACATCTTTTGCTCTGGTATTGGAGCTTTTTATTGTGCGTTGTATGTTGGACGAACTTTTTGCTAAAAGAGCGAATTCTGCTCTCTATAGTGGAGATGTTGGCGAGTTGATGGATTAATAATATTCGTTTATGAAATAACATTTTTCTTAATATTATTCGTTCTGTTGCTATTATGACATTAATTTAGCGGTGGTTATGGTGGTATATGTATGCTTTATATGTGAGCAGGAGAGTTTTGCGTTGAGTGCTATCGAATTTACCAGACAGAGTTCCAAGGAGGTTAGCTCTCCTTCTTACTCTCTCAAGGGTGTATTTTATGACAGTGTTCCAGTTGTGATTTTTCTGAAATTGAATGCAAAGCTACCAAGTACACCGAGTTTCTGAAATGGAGTCTCTTTATATTTAGGGGTTTCTGGATATATAAAGAGGATGGCTTGTGTTTTTGAAGGATTGAGAGTTACTCTCCATTTATTGCACCATTTTACTAATTTATTTAATTAAACTTGGGCCCGATTGAATACAGACCACATCCTCCACGTCTCGTCAACGGTACCTGAGAAAAGTGGTGCAGTATCGTCAGCATATATCAGGGGGGATTCTGTATTATTTACGGACAGAGGGAGGTCCCTGTTTTAAATGTGTAAAGTATAGGAGCTAAAATTGAGCCTTGGAGTACTTCAGCTTGTAGAGTGAATGGTGTGGAAAATTTATCTGCGATTTCAACACGGATGGTCCGATTAGACAAGTAGGAATGTATAGTTCTTGGACATGAGGTTGGCAGTCCAGCACAGCGGAGTTTTTCAATCAAGCCTGCATACCAGACCTTATCGAATTCTTTCTGGACGTCTAGGAAGATGCCTATGACAAGTTTGTCTTTTTTATTTAAGGAGCGTGAGATGAAAAATGCTGCTTAAATCAATGTATTTTGTGTGAAGTATCCAGCTCTGGACAAATAAAGGATGGTGTGGTTTTCTTCTAGGAATTATATGAGTTTTTCCGTCAGGATTCTCTCGTTAACTGTACCTAGAGTGTTTAGAAGTGATATTTATCTATAACATTCAGTGCTGGTACTTACAACTAAAATTTTACAAGTGCTAATAAATCAGAGGATAAGTTTAGCAGATGAACAAGACGGTTTTCGTAGAGGAAGATCGTGTACAGTTGCAATATTCGTAATAATGCAAATTACTGAGAAATCACTAGAGTATGATAGACCAGCATTTCTGTGTCTGATTGACCTAAAGAAAGCGTTTGACAGAGTAAGACTCACAGATGTAATCCACCTTCTATATAATAGAAAAGCTCGATATAATAAGTATAGTTTTACTGTAAAAAAGTATGGTACTCTAACTGGAAATAACTTCAAACAATTACAAATAGATTGGATATTCGTCCAGGCTTCGGTATTAAATTTTATTGAAATTCCAAGACATAATGAGGTAAAAATGTATTAAATATAACTCATTAAACGTACACAATACACTAAGTTGGTATTTAAACTTACCTAAGTTCTCTAAAATTCCATCAAGATAAATTTCTTTGTATCCCTTGATTTTTTTATTATCCTGAAACACGCTAACCATAGTAACTTCATGACCAGCTCTAGCAAGTCCATAGCCCAATGCTTTTCCTTGAAAATAGTGACTTCTACCAAAGTGATTGAACAATATTAAAACGTTCGCCGCATTCACTGACAAAAGCGTTTCACATAAAAGAACAATCACAAAATTTATATTAATCAACATGTTCTACACACTTCTTGAATGGCAGTGATATCTAAAATATAAATGAGTATATAATTTAAATTACTTTGCACTTTAATCTAGAAGTAGATAATTGAGATAGATCAAAATTATACTTAAATATATGTTTTAAGTATCTTGTCCTTGAGCTGCACGTTAAGGAATTGTTATTGCGTTTGTTTATAATTATATAATATGAATTAGGTATTTCAAAAAGCCGTGTAATAAAAAATAGAAAAATATTTTCAATTTAGTCCGCCTTCTATATTTGTATAGTCACCTCGTATTTCGGTGAGACTGTGTGAATATATTTATCTGTAATAAAAGCAGGCAATAAAAATTAAAATAAAAGTATTCTACCAGGAGTAGTTATTACCTGCAAAATTATCAATGACTGAGATGTATTTCGATATTTACATTCAGATGTGCCTGGTATTACGTTTGAAAAGATGTACAGTCGCCGAGATAAAATTATCGTTGATGCATTCTTTGCCTAAGATAACAATATTTGCCTGAGCGACCGAAACTATAAGGTAGTTTATCCAAATAAATTTCGTTTCGGCCGTCCATTATTTTAAAATTTTGTAGGTAGGTATAATATTTTACTTTATTTTAAACTTTATTTTTAAACGAAATATTGTTTATTTGGATGAAACCTGGTATGGTACTCATGACACCGTGAAAAAAAGTTGGACGAATAATAACAAAAAGTGTTCTCATTCAGTACCGCCCAATAAAGGACAGAATTATAATTTTATACTGCGGTGTAGAAAATGGATGTATCGACGATGTATAATTAATATCTGAAAAAAAATGAAAGACGTGAATCTAGATTATCATGAGGATATGGAGGGATCAAGTATAAAAAAAGTTCAACTCAGGAACCATAGATGTAAACGTTGAATGTTTTTTTGAAAAAAAAACACAGAAGTTAGTTTTTATAAAACTCACAAAGAAAGGAAGTACGTAAAAATATGTAAAAGAACAGTAAACTTTATAATTTTACGAAAATACGTTTAAAATGTGGCACCCGTGGTGTGATAATAATTTTGCAGCTGAAGAGCCAGCGGAACCCTCTAATCAATTTTAATATTTTTACAAAGCCGCGTACTTAGTAAAATTTAAGCGACATTTTCAATACCTCTCTGATGATCCCAAACATATGCTGAAACATGTTTATGAAGGATTGTGTTCTAAATTGTCTAAATAAGAAATATTATATTATATTATAATGTTTTTATTAGTCCTAATTTATTGTCTTTATTCTAATTTATTAAAGCTCACGATAATTTATCAAAAGTCTTTATTTTATACTAATTTATTTTACACTTAATAATTATAAATAATTTATTTGCGTTCGATACAATTTTAACCCGATATCCGCGATCTTCTTTTTGATTAACCCTCCTCAATGAGAATCGCCGTTATTTATTTGAAACGCCGTTATCTGGAAGGATCTGGCATGAAGTAGACGGAAGTTGACCTGAATAGTATCGAACTGGTTTTTTTTATAGCGGCTTCTTTCCAGAAAGATCGAATAGTAGTTGACCGCTTTCATATCGAAGGGGGTCCCATTGTGTCAGGTAGGTTTTTTACCTGCGTCTGGGCCGGTGCGTGATCTAGAAAATACGTGATTAGTCATAATGTATTTACAGTTTTATATGCAATAATATTTAAAATCGTAACAATATCATATTATACTTTACTAGGCAAGCGGTTTACCCCTCAAAAGACGCTTAGAAACAGAATATACCTACTAATTTTTTTGCATTTCTAATGCACCAAACCTTTTTTATTCGATTCTATATATTTTTCCAAGATGAAATGTATTTTTTTTTCTTTACAAGTGGGCCGGCAATTGTTATTAACAAATAACTTATACAAAAAAGCTATTTCACCAAATTGTTTCGGAATCAATTTTTTTAGGTGTATCTCATAAAAATAAACACTTTTTCTCTCTTGATAATTTTTCGAAAAATGCTTCCTTTTCGAGTTATTTGCATTTTTTTGTTGAAAAAATGCCTTAACTAGTGATTTTTGGGATTTTTTTTCTAAAAAAGTACTAAATGAATTGCAATTCCACAAATAGCTTTATAATCTTTAAACCGTCGAGTACAAGTTAGAATATTTTGACAAGGATAATTTTTTTCTATCTTGCTAAAAACGTGGACCCAAATATTTCGAATATATGCGGCGAATGTGAATACAGGCGTGCGGCGCGTAGAAATATTTGTTTAGATTTAAAAAATTAATTTAATACAAATATTACGTACAATTTATTAAAAAAAAAAAGATATTTATAATTATTTTTATATAGACATATTATAATTAAAAGAATTAAAATTATTTTTTTACAATGCTATAATGTAATTTTTCTTTTAATATACGTGGTGACTCTATTATTGAATGTTTTATTACAGTGAAATACATTAAGCAATATATAATCAATTTTCATTGAAAAATATAATAAAATAAAAATATAATATTATTTATACATCGTTTTCATTGTCAATAATTTGAAAATTTTCGTCAACAGCAACAGGATTTCCATCTAATAAGCTGATTTCATTGTCTTCAATAAAGTCGTCTTTAAAATTTTTACAATTCTCTGGTGTACATGTAGGGGAAAGTGGGGGAACCGTGCGCGGTGGGGAACGGTGCGCACCATTAAAATTCAAATTACGCGGCATACTGAGAGTCCCCTCCCGAACAGGCTTAAGCGGGAACATGCACAGAGTCTCTGAAGCCATTAACTGCCACTGCAGTTGAGTTGTGTACTTAGTGAAAGGCGAAAGTGTGCATTTGAGGTTTTTGTTACTATTTTCCACTTGCACAAATTAAGACGGTGAGTCCGTAAATCTTAACTACTTGTTTTGAAATAATTATATTCTTAAAGAATATCATCTGCTGCATATATGCACACCATTTGGTTGCATTTAGATAAGTAATTTTTGTAGGATGATGTAATTACGTTTTTAAACCATAGTGGGGTAACCGTGCGCGAAAATGCGCACGGTTACCCACTAATCAATTAAATATGAAGCAATATTGTTATCGTTTTTGGGTACTAAAATCCGTCTTTTATTTTCAGATGCCACGAAATTACGTTCGAAAGACTGAAATCCATCAATATAGTGATGAATTGCTGGAGACTGCACTGAATGCAATTAGAAACGATGGGAGGAAAATACGAGAAGTTGGGAGGTCTTTTGGTATTCCTGAATCAACACTCAGAAAAAAGCTTTCTCTAAATCAACTAAAAATCCCCCATCTCGGTAGAAAGGCGATTTTTACAGCAGAAGTGGAAGCTGAATTAACCCACTATATTCTGACACTCGCAAAATTGTTTTACGGCGTAACGCCCCGACAACTGAGGCAGTTAGCGTTTAATTATGCTCAACAGAAAAATATTCCAAATAATTTCAATAAACAAACTCAGTTAGCAGGCAAAGATTGGTTGTATGGGTTTCTCAAGCGAAATCCTGAAATATCATTGAGACAGCCTGAGGGGACTAGTCTTAATCGAATTGCTGCATTTAATGCGGACGAGTTAAAACTTTTTTATTCAAATCTCGAGAAAGTTTTACAAAAATTTAAATTTGAAGCAAACAGGATATATAATATGGACGAGACGGGTGTAACCACTGTACAGAAGAAGTGCCCGAAGGTTTATGGACGTAAGGGTGTAAAAAAAGTAGGAGCTGCTATTTCAGGTGAAAGAGGGAGGACCATTACAGCCGTATTTTGCATGAGTGCCACAGGAAATTATATCGCGCCCATGCTGATATATCCCAGAAAGAGAATGGCTCCTGCGCTGCAGAAAAATGGGCCAACTGGTGCTAACTATAAATGTTCAAAAAATGGATGGATGAATTCTGAACTTTTTCTTGATTGGTTAATGCACTTCGAAAAACAGGCAAATCCCACTTTAAATGACCCGATTCTCCTTATCCTTGACAACCATTCAAGCCATATATCCATAGAGGCATACGATTTCTGTAAGTCAAATCATATTCATATGGTGTCCCTTCCGCCACATACTTCCCATCACCTTCAACCCCTTGACCTATCCTTCTTTGGTCCTTTAAAAAATGCGCTATACAGGGAGTATGATATTTATTTAACTACAACAGGCCATGAAAAGATCACTGAATATGACGTAGCTGAGCTGTTAAATAAAGCGTTCGTAAAAGTCGCATCGATGGAGAAAGCAGTTTCGGGATTTCGTTCTGCTGGAATAAGGCCATTTGACCCTAACAAATTCAACGAAGATGATTTCGCTCCGGCCAACGAAATGAGACAGTTTGTAGTAGAAGGTTCTCCCGAACGTAGCGCTAATTTATTAACACTTGCATCTCAGCCAAATCTACAAAAAATTCCTAATCCGGCAACACCCGAACCTAGTGAAAATTCAGACGGTGAAGATAGACAGACAGCTCATATGCCAAAACAACAGCAGCAGGATCTACCTATTCAAGGTCATCTACCATGTACATCTACCGCTGAACAAGATCATCTACCATCTACATCTAAGTCTGGACACAACCATCTACCATCGACATCTACATTAAATAATTCATTCTTCCAATTTGCACCTATTCCAAGGAGAAAAGAAAAAGGAAGAGTAAAAACAGTGTCTCGTTCGAAACAACACTCTGAAATATTGACTAGCACACCCCTAAAAGAACGATTAGAACAAGCTCAAGCAAAGAAAAGGGAAAAAGACGTGAAAAAAAACATGAAATTAAAAAGTGTCAAAACATTAGGAAAGAACAATATTAAGAAAGATAATAAGAAAATGAAGAGGGCTCCAACACCTGAACTTGATGCACAAGAACGTGACGAGGAAGATGAAATCGAGAATGCTTATTTCTCGATCCCACCTCACTCCTTCTACGGAACCACTACAAGAAAAATAACGGCAAAAGAGAATGTTGCAAAAAAAGTAAAAAAACGCATATGTCAGTCTCCGGAAATTAAAAGAGGGAGAAATAAGAAACCAGCAACGCCTGAATCATCAGAGGTATCTGACATAGACGATAGTGACATTTGTGACGATGATGAAGTAGACGATATCAACCCCAACTATGTTCCATTTGATGCAGAACCTGACGTGCGGACTGAATTATGTGGCATATGTGGAG